TATATATGTGTGTGTGTGTATTTGTTTGTGTATGTTTATATGCATATGTATATATAGGCATGTATTTTTATATATTTATATATATATGCATATATATAGATATATGTAAGTATATATATATGTATATATATATTATGTATGTATTTATGTATGTATGTATGTATATATGTATATATATATGTGTGTATGTATGAATATATATGTATATATATATATATATATATATTATGTACGTATTTATGTATGTCTGTATGTATGTATATATGTATATATATATGTGTGTATGTATGAATATATATGTATATCGCACACACGTATGTATATATATATATATATATATATATACTTATATATCGGTGTGTGTCTGTCTCTGTGTGTATCTGTATATATATATATAAATATATATATCGTGCCTGCATGTGCGCGCAATTGTATACTTGCATGACTTCTAAACATATATTCACTAGTTCATCTCTACATACGCACCTATCTCTTCCCGTTTTCCTCTGTAAACCTCAACTACCCCCCATCTAACCCACTCTATTTACCCTTGCACCCGCCAGTTCGGTGACAAGTGTCCCTTTCTCAATGACCAAAAGCACGTCGAGGGCTGCCCTGCCTTCAAGGACGGTTGTCCTTTTAAGCTACACACCTGTCCTTTCAGTAAGTCTCGTGTTATCGCTCCTGTGCACATGCCATGCGCATCAGCTCTATGTACCGTTAGTGTATGCTTCAAAGCTCCATGCGCCTGTTTCTGTACGTCTCTTTGTACTTTACACGCGCTCTGTTTCGGCTTGTAAGACTGGCGAGTTGTTTGGATTTGTGTTTCATATGTGTATGTCTGTATTACATATCTGAGTCTTGTGGATGTGTGTTTATATGTGTATGTATGTATTTCATATCTGAGTCTTTTGGATGTGTGTCTCATATGTGTATGTATGTATTACATATCTCAGTCTTGTGGATGTGTGTTTCATACGTGTATGTATGTATTTCATATCTGCGTCCTTTGGATGTGTGTCTCATATGCGTGCGTATGTATCTCATATCTTAGTCTTTGCCTCTCATTTCATGTCTGGTTAGTTCGTGTTCTGGACATGCGTGTTGTGCATTCAGCGGAGTGTCATTACCTATCCTGTCTATGCCCTTGTTCATAGTGTGTGCCCACACAGTGTTGTAGCTCACTGGCCATAGGCCTATGACTGGGTGTTCTGTTGAGAGTGGTATGTGATTACTCACACATGGCTTAAACGTCTACCTGGTGTCCAGTCCCCCCCCCCCCCCGCCCACACACATACACACATACACGCCTTGCACACATACATACATATCTGCCAGCACAACGCTAACAGGTATTGCGTATGTAGCTTAACGTTTTGTGTGCATATACCATTGACCAGCGCACATGCCCTACTGTCACCATAGCAACGTGTGTGTGGCGGTGTCTGTGTGCGCACATACCCTACTGTCACAATAGCAACGTGTGTGTGGTGGTGTCTGTGTGCGCACATGCCCTATTGTCACCATAGCAACGTGTGTGTGGTGGTGTATGTGGCGCACACGCCCTACTGTCACCATAGCAACGTGTGTGTGGTGGGTGTCTGTGTGCGTACATGCCCTACTGTCCCGATAGTAACGTGTGTGTGGTAGTGTCTGTGTGCGCACATGCCCTACTGTCACCATAGTAACGTGTATGTGGTGGTGTCTGTGTACGTACATGCCCTACTGGCACCATAGCAACGTGTGTGTGGTGGTGTCTGTGTGCACATGCCCTGCTGTTCCCATAACCCCTTGTCCTGCTGTGTCCTTGCACATTCTCATTTGCGATCATTCCGTTTGCGCTGTGGCAGAGGAGATGAGCCATGAAGAGGCTATGGCGCTGATCAAGAAGTGCCCTCACATCGAGGTAAGCGCACCTGTCCTACACTCTACACCCGCCCTACACTTCTCCTACACCTTTCGGGGGCGTGTACACGTGGCTTGTGGTGGTGGCCCGTGTTGTTTGTATTGTCTATGTGTTGATGTGTTGTTTGTATTGTCTATGTGTTGATGTGTTGTTTGTATTGTCTATGTGTTGATGTGTTGTTTGTATTGTCTGTATTGTCTGTGTGTTGATGTGTTGTTTGTATTGTCAGTGTGTTGATGTGTTGTTTGTATTGTCTGTGTGTCGATGTGTTGTTTGTATTGTCTGTGTGTTGGTGTGTTGTTTGTACTGTCTGTGTGTTGATGTGTTGTTTGTATAGTATGTGTGTTGATGTGTATTTTGTATTATCTGTGTGTTTATGTGTTGTTTGTATTGTCTGTGTTTATGTGTTGTTTGTATTGTCTGTGTGTCATGTTCTGTTTGTATTGTCTGTGTGCATATATTTTTTTGTATTGTCTGTGTGTTGATGTGCTGTGTGATTGTGGTCTGTGAGGTTGTGCAGGTGTTCCGTGTGATCGTACGCTTGCCATTTTTGCACCTGTCCCGTGCCCAGCTCAACCCTACTTTTCGAGGTGCATTCCACGCTGCCCTTGCCACCTGACTTCTAGGCAGGTGTACACCTCAGTTAAGACTATACCGCTATGTGTGCGTTAGCTTTTCATGCGTTGTATACGTTAGCTTCTCATGTACTATGTGTGTGGGTTCGCTCAGTGCTTTAGGGTTTTAGGGTTGTGGGTTCAAGTGGAGTGTTCCGCATATCCGCTTGTACACTCTCATTTTGTGTCTTCCGTATCTTTAGGTCGGAGTTACTTGCACTCTGCTCGTGTAGTGACTCGTGGTGTGTCATGTTGTGTCACGGTGGGTCATGGTGTGTTATACTATACGTCATCGGTACTCTACTAACGTACGTGTGTAGTTTACTTAGCGTTGCAGTCATTAGCGTGCCTTGCCTGTATGACCACCATCTCTTTCTCCGCTGTATCGTAGCTCTGTACCCCATCTCCCGCACGTGGACACCCGTCTATGCTCTCCCCACACACTGTGCATGTGATAAAGTCTATAGCCTGTCTAACAACCATTGCGTCTGGCTCTCTCAGGAACACTTATCCAAATGCCCTGTGTACCGACCCGAGCAGAAGGAGGGGTGTCCGTTTGTGCATGGTAAGCATGTGGATGTGTATTAGATTGAACGGCATGTAGATGTGTAGTTGATAGAACGGTATGAAAGCCGTAGGTAGCAGCGTCTGCATTCTCTGCTGTTGGGGTTATTGTTGTATAGCCCAACAGTGTACACCGATGAGCCATGCATGTACCTTTCGGTTGGGATGGCGTGAGCAGATGATGACTAGTCATGTATAGATGTATGGTATTAAGATGATAGTCATGTATAGACGTGTGGTATTGAGATGATAGTCATGTATAGACGTATGGTATTGAGATGATAGTCATGTATGGATGTATGGTGTTGTGTGCCCACCACATGTGTAAAGTACCGGGCTGTCTGTGTCTGTCCAACCCCGTTTTCAGTATTTTGTGTGTTTATTTGGTGGGATGGGGGTGGGGGGGGGTGGCTCATACTGTGTTTCGTACGAATAGCGCACTCAATGACTTGCAGTCCTGACTTTACGGCTGAGTTACTCCGTGAGACATGCATGCACATGTGCGTTTGTGCGGATTGCTTTGTACGCATGCACGTGTGCGTCTGTGTGGATTCCGTTGTACGCATGCACATGTGCGTCTGTGTGGATTGCGTTGTACGCATGCACATGTGCGTCTGTGTGGATTGCGTTGTACGCATGCACATGTGCGTCTGTGTGGATTGCGTTGTACGCATGCACAAGCAATCGTCACATGCGCGGCCTTGGGTGGGGACATTTCTTGGCCATTGGCACTTGCACAAGTTTAGTGCCCCTCCCACACACACGCGTACACCTACATAAACACGCACTCGCACATATATATATGTGTGTGTGTGTGTGTGTGTGTGTGTGTATAAGCTATCTGTACGTATGTGCAACGGTGCCCATGACTACGATTATGGGCTCAAAACGAATACACATACCTAGAGCAAGGAATCCCACCGTATACCTCTCCTACACTTGTATTCCCATGACAATCTTCATCTTCCTCGCTTTGTGCACTAATGCTCATTCGCTGTTTCCTATCACCACTCGTATGATCTCTGGCCACCAGACGGCCGCATGGACATATCTAAGGTGTGTGGTGTAGTGCTATAGTTCGTTTTGTAGGTGTGTGTGTCCTCGTGTGATGCTCTGCTGGCTTTGTGAATGATGGATCTGTTGTTATCTTTAGCCTGCATGCGTGGTGGGGTGTATATGATGTTCTGAGATGATGTGTGTATATGACATTCATGTGTTTATGGTGAATGATATATGTATGTATATATACCCCCACTGGGTGCGTGTTGCATGCCTTGTGTTTGTGTCGCTCGTCTATGCCTACCTGTGCTGTGTTGCTCGTCTGTGCCTACCTGTGCTATTTCGCTCGTCTGTGACTACCTGTGCTGCGCCAGATGTTCCGCATGGCCTGTGTGTCGGGTGTCGTGTCTGATGCATCCTGTGTGACTGTGTATGTCGCCCATGTGATCGCATGTGCTTTCCCACTGATCCAGTTCTCGCGTTCAGGCGTATCGCAGTACTCTCACAGCTCGCTGAGGCATTCAGCGCACTGACTCAACTTACCCATTCCTCCTTATTTGTCCATCCCTGGCTACAGTGTCCCCACTTCGCCACCCACGTGAACACCTTGCCCGACGCCCACCCCGATGTGGTGAGTTGCGCTGTGCCACTGCCCACACTCTACTGCACACGTGGGTCACAGACCTGCATGTTATCGCGAGTGCTCCTGTCTGTTCTCTACTGACATATATACCTGCATGTTATCACTAGTGCTCCTGTCTGTTCTCTACTGACATATACACCTGCATGTTATCACTAGTGCTCCTGTCTGTTCTCTATTGACTTATACACCTGCATGTTATCACTAGTGCTCCTGTCTATTCTCTATTGACATACAAGTGCAAGTGGCTATCCTCAGCATCCCGCTGACTCCTTCGGCCAAGTGTGCATAGTGTTATGTCTTCTTAGTTTAGAGTGTTATGTCTTCTAAGTTTAGAGTGTTATGTCTTCTTAGTTTAGAGTGTTATGTCTTCTTAGTTTAGAGTGTTGTGTCTTCTTCGTTTAGAGTGTTATGCCTTCTTGGTTTAGAGTGTTATGTCTTCTTGTTTTAGAGTGTTATGTTTTCTTAGTTATGAGTGTTATGTCTTCTTAGTTTAGAGTGTTATGTCTTTTTCGTGTAGAGTGTTATGCACAGCCTCTGCTGTATCTCTTACACTCCCTCTGTTAGTCCTCGTAGTTCAATTGGCACTCCTACCATTCCCCCCAACTCCCCTGCTGTTGTGTATGTATCTTGAACGTACAATGTCTACTGTATCTCGTTTCGAGTCTTCTTAGTTTAGAGTGTTATCGTGTATGAATACTCTAATTCACGTTGTCTGATATATCTCGTTTCGAGTCTAATCCGCATATCCCAATCTCTCTCGCCACAGCCCAAGGATGCCAAGCCGTCGCAGTGCCCATTCATCCAGATGCAGCACAAGGTAACTTAACATGGCTGTCAAGCACTACTTACTTGTCCTACTGTAGACAGCTGTCCAATCTTACCCTCTTCAGGACAGAGCTCTCTCTCTCTCACTTTCTGCATGCGTGTGTGTGTGTGAGTGTGAAAACATCTTTCCGTCCTAGTAGAAGGATGATTATATTCGTTTTCTCTCCGTCCCCAGTGGGTCATGGTCTAATCCCGTTTCTGTTTTGGCTCGTGCCCTGGTTTTATTCGGCTTTTAGGGTTCAGATGTTACGTTATGTGGTCCGGTGGTCGCCCACTGTTCCCTTATCACGCTCTGTGTTCTGTGTCCCTTTGCGTGGGCGTCCTCTCTTTCCCTGAGATCTCCTCTCAACGCTCTCGTGTCCCTCTCGCACTTACCTGTCACATACAACGACGCACACGACAAGAATAGCCTGTTATTCGCAGGTACCTCTCTGTCTATGGCACCCCTGAGACAGGGCGTGTAGCCGAAGTGCCGGTCGTATCTGTGGTGGTTTTCCACGTAGCAATCCAGTGCAATGTAGTGCACACATGAGTTCTGCCGGGTGGCGTGATTTTGTCCATGCCATCCACTCACTTGTCAAGTGCTCTCCCTTTGCTACACATATTTTGTCTTTCCCATCCACTCACTTGTAAAGTGCTTT